GGGAGAGCGACAGCCCTCGGGGAGGGGGCAGAGCACGGGGCCCAGCGGTGAGGATGAGGAGGGGCAGGGGCCTTACTCATATGTGGCAGGATTATTGCACGGTGCTGCCAGGCTAGAACACGACTTGTTTGATGTCACTCTCTCCACGAGCTGTGGGGCGAGCAGTGGGTCGGAGCTGGTGCAGGGGGCTGAGGTGTCCCCACGGGCCGGCCCAGTGCGGGCGATGCTCCGCGGCGCCGTTACGCACCCCGTGGTCCCGGAACAGCCGTGACGCCAGAGGGGAGAAAGTCCAGGGCGGCCAGCACAGGGCGAGAAACAGGGTCAAGGGCTGCAGGCACAGCAGAGCTGCCATGGTCGCGGGGTCCAGGCACGGCCCTGTCCCCCGGCCACCTCACAGCACAGGCAGAGAACCAGGGACCAGCATCCAGCCTCGGAGCCACTGGCACCGCAGCTTGGTGCGACCCCACGGCCACCCCCACTGCCCTTCAGCACTGGCCCTGGTTTCCAGCACCCGCTAGCACTTCAGACCTGAGCTGGCAGCTGCTACGTTTTGGGAGGCTGGGGGGCAGGCTGGGACTGTGGGGGGCTGGCAGCGCCCGCATCCCGTCCTTGGCGTGCACGGTGCCGCGCGTGGAGGCGGTTGCGCATGGAGGCGGTTGGGAGCTGCGGGCGCCTCTCCGGGCGGGAGCCGGCACCCGCGTGGCCAAGAGGCGGCACCGTGCTCCTGCTTTCCCCGGCCGGCTGGTGCCCTCTCCTGGGGAGCAGCACCCAAGGCTTGGCCCCGCGGCACCCCAACACTACCCGCACTGCCAGCGGGCTGAGCAGGGGCGCAGGACCCGACCACAGTGCCCACAAGCACTGCGACACATTGGATACAGCCGTGCTCCATGTGCCCATGGGTTGTCCCCATGGGGAGCCTGGCCAAGGTGACATGAAGACACAAGGACAGAACAGAACAGGATACTAGGGAAGGCCAAGGGCAGCAGCAGGGATGGAGAGGAGGGGCTTGGGATATTGAGACAGGGGAAGGAATTAGGGGTGCCCAAGGGGATGAGAGTTGTCAGGGCAGAATGGGGGTGACAACAGGATGAGCGAGGGTGAGGGAGCTAGGTGTTCGGTTGTGAATGTCCGGGTTAGTTTCTGAATGTGGCTGTCAAAGGAGAACTGGGGTGACAGGGGCACCAAGTAGGGGCTGAAAGTGATGGAGGGTCCCAGGGAAGAACTGGGGGGCCGGGATGGAGGGCTGAGGGTGCCATGAGGGATCTGGGCTAACTGGAGGTCCCCTAAGGTGACTGGAGGGGCAAAGGGGGAGGACTGGGGACTCGGACTGTGGGGGATGGATTGGGGCTGGGGCCGGGGGAGGGCAGCCGAGGGTGACGGTGGGGCAGGAGGAGGAGGTGGAGCGCTGGAGACGGTAGAGGTGGAGGGAGGGAGGGATGAAGGCTGGAGGAGGAGGAGCAGCGGGGGATGCCGCCGCGGCGGGCGGAGCCGGCCGGTGCCGCAGAGCCGCCTCCCCGGCGCACGCTGGGGCGGCCCGGCCCGGCCCGGCCCGGCCC